TGGGAGGGGAGCTGTTGCATTGTGGTAAACTGTGGTCAATGACATGAGACAAAGTATACGTGAACTGCTGTATGGAAAGTGAATTTGCTCTGTAAATCTTCACCCAAATCACAATAAATAATAATAAAAAAAGGAGTTAGTCTGTTAAAAAGTAATAGAGAGGTGTGTTGGGCGATTCATTAATAAAATTTTAAAAAATGGAAAAAAAAAAAAAAAGAAACATGGAAGCAATCCAAAGGACTAATGGACCACGTGAACCTCAGCCTCCACAACCCTGAGACCAGAAGAACTAGATGATTCCTGGCTACCACTGCCAGCTGCTCTGAAAGGGATCGTATTAGAAGGTCCTGGATAAGTGGGATAAAAATGTGGACCAAAACTTGATAATAAAAAAGACCAGTCTAACTGGTGAAACTCTCAAGATTATGGCACTTGGTCACCCTTTGGACCTGGAACTGAACTCGCTCCCATAGCTGAACTTTCAGTCAAACAATAAACAGATCTACAATGTGAACAGTAAATCCTTAGAATAATCAACCACTCAAGATTGAAAGGGCATTTACCCAAGGACAAAATTCAGAAGGCAGGGTTAGGAGAGAAGGAGGGATGGAAACAAGAAACACAGGGAGGCTGTGGGAGGAGTGCTACTACATTGATGGGATTGCAATCAAGGGCATGAAACAAAATATGTGTGAACTGTTAAATGGAAAACTCATTTTCTCTGTAAACTTTCACCCAAATCACAATAAAAATTAAACACACACACACACACACACACACACACACACACACACACAAAGAGTAGACCTTCTCCATAGGCTGATGTTATCAGAAGATTGCCAGGATTTTCTCCTGAGCTGCCTCTGGGTGGACCTGAATTATCAGCCTTTTGGTTAGTAGCACTAATGAGCCCATTAACTATTTGCACCACTCCAACTTGAGACAGGAAGGGAAGAAGCCAATATAGCATCATTATCAAGCAAGAAATGCCTCTCGGTGCTACCAAATGGGTTGCATTCATCCACTATCCAAAAGGTTAGTCGTTCAAATCCCCCCAGTGGTACTGCAGAAGAAAGCCCTGGTGACGTGCTTTCATAAAGATTACAGCCCAAGCAACCCTATAAAGCATAGTTCTACTCTGATGCCCATGGGGTCACCATGAGCTGGAATTGACTAGATGGCAATGAATTTGAGTTTGGTTTTGATATCAAGCAAGTTCCCATGTGGACAAATGGAGGTAAGTCCCCTGGAGAAATGTTGGGCCCAGTGTGGAGTATGTACATCAGAGCTATCCCTCCCAGTGGTTAAGGGAGCTTGTATTTTGTTACCCCGACTCCTAGCTGATTGATTGAGGGAGCTGCTCTCTTCCTGAGGGGAGGGCATTGCTGACTTGTAGCAAGAAAAGACGACTCAGGTGGTCAGAGAAGCACCGAGGCAGAGACACACAGGTGCTAGCAGTTGACAGTTTGATTGGCAGGCTGGAAGTCCTGTTGTGACTCTAACTCCTGGCGACCTTATGTACAAGGGAACTAAGCATTGCCTGGTCCTGTGCCATCCTCACAAGTAGCAGCCATCATGGTGGCTATTGCACCAATCCTTTTCACTGAGGCTCTCCCAACATGATGTCCTCTTCTGGCAATTGATCCCTCCTGATGATGTGTCCAAAGCAGGTGAGCCAGACAGTGTTCTATTGTCATCCAGAAGGTTTCCAGTGGCTAATTTTTTGGAAGGAGATTGTTGGGCCTTTCTTCCTAGTCAGGAGCTCTGGTAGCATAGTGCCTAAGGCACTTGACTGCTAACCAAAAGGCTGGCGGTTCAAGCCTACCAGATACTCCTCAGAAGGAAAGTTGGGCAACTTACTTCCGTAGAGATACTGCCTCGGAAACCCAAGGAAGTGTTGTCACTATGAGTTGAACAGACTTGACAGCAGTGAGTTTGTTTTTTTGTTTGTTTCTTCCTAGTCTGTCTCAGGATGAAACCTCTCCACCACAGGTGATGCTTCTGGTATTTGAAATACTAGTGACCTAGTGGCCAGCATCACAGCAACACATAAGCCATTACAATATGAAAAACTGACAGGTGGGTGGTATGTCAACAGGTTGTTGGTTCAGCAGTGGAATGGGTGGAAAAAAGGTATCACCAGAGCCATTCCCATGAGGACATCTACATCTTTGGGGACACAGCATCTGGAACACTGTAGGTGCTCAATGAACATTCCTTGAATGAGTGAATGGATCCTCTGTTCCCTGCAGCTTCCTGTCTGCCCTGCCCTGAAAACGCCATCTGCCACAACAGGACTCACTGTGTTTGTAAAGATGGGTTCCAGGCCATGTCTGGGAGGAAATACTTCACTGAGATCTATGAGAAATGTGAGGGTAAGGCTGTTTATTCCTTTGTCTCAGTTTTTAAGAGTTCTGTATATATTAGGACTATCAGACATTTGTCTGTGGTATTTGTTGCAAACATATTTTCCAAGCTTGGTAATTGTCCTTTTATAAAAAATAATTATTTATTGTGTTTAAGGTGAATGTTTACACAGCAAATCAGACTCCCTGTTAACAATTTCTACTCAATTTATTCAGTGATATTGGTTTCATTTTTCACAATGTGTCATGGTTCTCGTTCATTCCGTTCTGGTTGTATCGTTTCCAGTTCTCTAGTTTCCCTGCCATCTCATCTTTGCTTTAGAATCATTTTTGACCATTTGGTCACATATACAGTTTTTAAAAAGATTGTGATAAGTGTATGTATATGGAGCATGGCTGGCACAAATGATTAAGCACCCAACTACCAGTCAAAAAGTTAGTGGTTTGAACCCAGCCACAGGCACCGGGTCTCCGGGAGCAAGGTGGGCACGGGTGGGCTTGTGCTTCCTCACTGATCTGCACTGAACACTTTCCCTTGTTACCCTCCCGAGAGGGACCGGGTCTCCGGGAGCAAGGTAAGCAC